AGCAGGGGAAGGAGAGGAGGAGGAGGAAGGATGAAGAGGAAGGGAAAGAGAAGGAGGAGAGAGAAGAAGGAAGAAAAGCAGGAGACACCTCTTTTATTGCTGCCCTTGAGTAGAACATACCAAGAAGAAGGATGTCCTAACGCACTCAGGTATTACCTTGGTAGAGGCCACAACAGACCTGTTACAACACACTACATTTTGCCAGGGCCATAGCACTGACACCTTCTACGCTCAGCCATGTTGTCAGCTTTCCATTAATAGCAGAGTGCCTGAATTCAGCCACGGTATGTGCACGGGCAGCTTGGCAGTGGAGGGCCGGAGGAGAGGTCTCTTGGCTGCCTTTCAGCCCCTACAGAGGCCGAAAATGGGAGCAGGGTAAGAGGGAGAGCGGGACTGGCGTGACAGTTTTGTGTCTGTGTGTGCATCCAGCCCCCCTGTACGGGGGCTGTCACCCTGCGCTGGCCATGGGGACCGGGGCTTCCAGCTGCCATGGTTTTGCAACTCACTTGGTAATGCCACTGCAGCTGGTGGCAGCCCAGCTTGTCACACCTCTGTGCATTAAATCCTGCCCCCCCCCAGTAAATGAGTTCCTGAGCAACTGGGTGGCACGAAGCAGGGACCGTTTGAATGACGAAAGACACACAGATAACGCTCTTGAACCAATAGCTCAAAGCCCATCTAGCCAGCTACCCAGATAACTTAATCTTGCTATTTTAAGCACTTTTCTCTCTCTTCTCAGTAGTGGCAGTGAGCACACACAAATCAAAACCAGCCCTGTAACCATCAAAGGTCTAACCACAGGCTGGGGCATGGGATGACTCTAGAAAGATGTGGAAGAGCATGAAGAAACAGGGAGACAGCCCAAGAGGTGTCCATCTCACTCAGGATCTAACCACTGTCAAGTCTTTTGGAAGTACTAGAACTGAAAAATATTGTAAGGAGGGATTTGAAGCTGAAAATAAGCAGATGTGGATGTTACAGGGTCCTCCTGCAGCTACACAAGGCAACAAAGGAGATATCACAATGGTGAGTAGCCTGCCCAGTAGGTACAACAATCTCATCATGTTAAACCAACTAGTTTGAAAAGCAAGGTGAAAACAGAAGGACAAGAGCTGCTGTTGCTTCAGAGTGCTCAAGCTCTTGCGTTGTCTGTGGTGCAGACTCCTGTCCTTTTTGAGGTTTTTTTTCTGGCACGTACTTGTTTCTGGCATATCTGACAAGCGGTTTCAGTGTTCTTACACGAAGGCGAGGGGTTTTTTTGTAGGCTCTCCACATCCACAACACATCTCCACAATGTGAAATGATAAACGAAGCAGCATCCTTGGGAAGAGTGTGTTTTCATAAGCTGCAACTTCATCGTGTCTAGAAGACAGATTTTCAAGATGAATCAGTCTTCCTTTGGTTTGAAAGTGAAAGATAGAAACCTGGAATGTGCCAAGATGATACTTGGAAAGAGTAGCATTTAAAAATACATTATCTGACAGCTGGCCCAGTCTGTGTACAATACACATGCACATACACACACGGAGCGTCAGCTTACCATGAGTTTGTTTTACTGCTGCTGCTCCTAAAAGCCCTGAGGCTCTCTGTTCCTATGCCATGAGAAGGAAAATAATAAAACCTAGACAGTTTTAAAGAGCGATTTGTATGTGTTTTTTGGAAGGTAGGAGAAGGGCTGGATCCAGCCACCCCATGGGACACTGGGGCTGGACCTTGCAGCCTGCCCTCCATTCCACCATACGGTCTGCCGTCTGCACTGCCGGTGCCCAGGGCTAAAAAGGGCCTTGTCCTCACCACTCCTTTCCTCCTCATAGTACTCCCTCTCCCTGCCCCAGAAAATCCATGCTGAGGTAAAAAATTTCTTTCCAGCTAATCAGCTTCAGTCATTTCCCCATTGATACCTTCTGACTGATCCCCAGAAACAGGCCATCTTTCCCATGCTGCACCCTACCCCCCAGCAGCGCGGGGGCAAGGACGTGACTCTCTAAAACCACGCTTTACTTGTTGGAGAAGCTGGAAGATGTGGGCAAACGAGTCAGGGTGCTGCAGGGAGCTGAAGGATGCTCCTGTGGTCCACGAAATGACACAGCCCCGTGGGACTGGCTTGATGCTGCATGATACTATAGATACCGAGCCTGGTACGGAGTACAAACTGCGCTCCCAGGGCCTTGACTGCAGGATTTGGGATGATCTCCAGGGGCACCACAAGCACAAAAAGCAATTAAAGCTGTACACCGTTCATCCAGCTAAGTCCCTCAAAAGAAGCCAGCCCTTTGCATCCCGGCGCGGGCGCCCACAGCTGACAAAGCGCCTGGCCTTCCTCCCCTTACAGCCGCGTTCCCCACCGGTGAGGCAGCCGCCAGCTGCCCGCTGCGGCGAGAAGAGGCAGCTTCTGGTGGGATGCGGTGCATCAGCAGGTGACTACGGGCTGCAATGCATCATGCCAGTGGCCAACCCTGCAACAGGGGCGTGTGGTTTTAACTCCGCCTGGAACGGGACACACCATGGCACCATAGAAAAGCTGCTCAGAGTTACTGCTCCCCATCTAGACTGCTTCTATAAACTCCACAGATGGCATTTTGCTGTTTACTCTAGCCACAGCAACCGTGGGGGACAATTCAGTTCTGGAAGGTCTCCAGTCCAGATTTTTATCTCAAAATGTGTATATATAGAATTAATTTGGAGCTGCAGTCTTCCCCAAATTATTCCACTGGGCAGCTCACACAAGCCAGTTGCTTGCTGACAGCCCAAAGTAGAGCAGTTACTCATAGGCTAATGGGCTTTGCCAAAGTAAGGTTTTTTTCTCCTCAAACATCATTAAAAGAAGGAAACCGAGGTATCATGCACCAGGAAGAAGTGTTGCGCGGCTGGGATGTCAAGCAGTAGCAAAATATTGCTATTGCTGTGGGTGGTGTGTCACAGCATAACCAGCTCCTTGCAGGGGAAAAATGGGATGGAAAGGACAGACAGAAGACTGAGTAAGAAGGGGGAGGCAGTGGTCTGCACTGAGGCTACACCAAGGCCAACAGTCAAGCTCAGCCCTGACCTCTTGTTCGGAGACCTGTTGACATCAGGCATGCAGTGATACGTGAAGGAGGTCACAGAGAGGCCTGGAATTCATTAGTTCCCCAGTTTGGGCGAAAATAGTGGCACTTTGGCTCTGCTCCCTGGGAATTCAGCCGCAATTCCATCTCCTCCACTGCAGCAGCAACAGACCCTTTTCTTTAATCCCCATGTGCACTAACATGGATGGGACACAACTACCTCTGACGAAACCCTGGCAGGTAACAAAAAAACCCTGCAAACAGAGCCACGGGATTACATGAGGATAGTCTCCAAACCAAGCAGGAAACTGGAGAAAACCCAGTTACTCCTTTGATTCACTCTACACAACCCATTGTAGCTCAGCGGGAGGAAAGTCAAAGGCCAGCAGGGAAAAGGAACAAGCCACCCAAGGCTGTAGTTGCCCTCTGAGCTGTGAATCAACAATTACAAAAATTTACAGGGTTAACCACTGGCTTTCAGGTGCCTCAGATGGGTGCCGGCAGCTTGGTGGGGTAAGCTGAGTGCTGGCAGGGCACGTGTCCCACAGCACCCCTGCCCCTTCCTGCAGAGGCAAAGGCAGCCCACAGACCCACCTCACCAGGCAAACAACAAAACCAGCACATACATTCTAGTTGCGACTGGCAGCTACTGCTTTCTTAATAAAAACTCTTTATATGATGCACCGAACATCCCCAAAAACAAACAGATGAAGCTGCGACGTACATGAAGGGAAGTATTTTGTGGGTGTGTAACCCTGAGTCCCCTGAACCATCTTCTCACCTGCCCACCAGGGAGAAATGGCAGATGCCTGCAAGCAAGAATTGCCCTGCTGTCTTGGCTGCCATCCCCTATGTCTCTGGGACCCAGTCACAGGGCCCTGGTAAATTCTCTGCAACCCTTTGCTCCCCAGTCTGCCGAGGTACTCTTACCCTTCAGCAGGAGAGACTTATCCCAAATTACTTCAGGTGGTTTCCTAAATGATCAACACCAAAGACATGTGAGTTATGGCAAGGGAAATCAGGGTTTGAACTTGCAGCACACTGTAGCTAACTTCTTTGTGGCAGGGGGCTGGCGGGGGGGGGGGGGGGGCGCC